CGTTATTCGTCCGCTGTCATCTGTTTGTGTTGTCGATAATTCAGCCCATCCGACGTCAATGGAAAGGCAATTCAACTGACGCCACGGTGCAAAACAACAATTGTTTTACCCAGACTAGACGGTGCTTGCAAAAGACTACAAGACCAATCAGGAAAAGTGGACGATTGGACGTGTTTACCGAAAGTGTGGTGTCGTGGTTTAGGAAATTCGGGTCGGCTCCGACATTTGGTTGCGGCACGCCAACCAGTTGAAACACATTGAATGGGCTGACGTGTCAAAACCCGGCCCAACTTTATCACTGGAACTATTACTGGACACATTCGACCTGCCAAAACCAAGGCAAGAAACTACAGTTCCAGTTGTTAGACAATCTCCTTAAGCCTCTAGGCCATCAGGCCCGAAAAGAATGCAAACGGTTCCGTTGCAAATGAACCCGCAACTCAAATCTTACGATTTGTCCTCAAAGAGGGGAGTGTTAGGACGGCCTAACGATCAGCCTTAGCAAGCAATTTGCTTACAAGCCATAGCCGCACTCCAAGCAGGCTATCGATAGACCTACACGGGCGAACGTACACAGGCCGTCAATCAATCGATAATTCAGAATTCAAACTAAATGTCAGCCTCTGAGTCCCAGCCAATCGCACCGGTGACTAATACAGCAGTGAAGCTGATTGGTTCGTGGACCTATCTTACAAACGTTCGTTTCCCTAAATTTGTTGAACCTCTATCTCCCAAAGACTTCTGTTGTTGCACACTTCTTGTCTTGTTCTTCCTTTAGGGCCTCACACAAGAAGTTATTGGCGGTGATATCCCGGCATGAGCTTCCTTTACAACATAGCCTCCCTAAAATTCATAAACAAGACGTTCTTCTTCATCCTATCTTGGACGTGGGAGACTCGCCGTACCATGCCATGGCAAAATAGCATGTCGAAAAGTTAAAGCCACTTCAGAGCTGTCTGTACCGCAGAAGCCTGAAATACACATTTGACCTCGTCGAGGCTCTCAGGGATACTGACATTGGCGGAATGATGATGCTGTCATTCGATATATCTTCACTTTTTACCAATGTACCGGTAGTTGAAACCATAAGCTACCTATGTGACTTTATACGGGAAACAAACTGCCAGATAGGGATGACAGTGGAGACGCAAGAAGAACTACAGGCGTGCTGTACACAAAATGTGCAGTTCATCTACAATGACCAAATATACAGGAAAATAAACGGAGTGGCAATGGGCTCAGCACTTGGACCAATCC